CATGATAGTTAATATTATGGGTACATACTGTTTATTTTAAGAAAAAAATATTTTACCACAAAGTAGGTGTTTTAATAATAAATTTGGAAAAAAACACTCCAGGAAAAAATTATTATTTTTTTTAAAAAAGTATGAACCTACTTTATATCTCAACGTGTTCACAGAGATAAAAAAAATAATAACAGAGTGGTGGGGAAAAAATTTACCATCGACGAGTGTACCATCGAAATAAAGTTAAATAATAATAAAAATATTATCGATGCGTGCACGGTTTTTCGGTCGTGAAATAAAATATCGCGAGGTTTCATCATTGCGCAATAGTTGCAATCGATATCCTATCAATGTAAAATATAATACAATTCTAATCACCTTATACGGCGGGTAACTTCGATGACCTTACCGGAAAATCCAAAGGAGCTCGATGTGCATTAACGTTTTTGAAAAAATTGTTTGTCGCCTAACTAAAATAACACAATAGTTTATTCGGACGTGTAAAATAATACTGTTCATCTTAATATTATCTAATTATATTTCATATAGAGATATTATATAATAATGTATAATAATGCTCATATCATAAAAATAACCTCTATGACGTTTCATAATATGTTATTATTATTATATTTCGTTTATTAAATTTTAATTTTTTATATAGGTAGGTATACATATAAATTCCGGTGCCAAGTGAATTGTCGACCTCGAACGTATCTTGGGCATTATAGGATGTAGGCACCTCATAGTATTTAGTTATTACATGAACAGGGCTCCCACAAGGGTGGGGAGGGGTGGTTGGACCTGGAGTACAGGTGACCAGCTACTTTATTAGGAATACTAATTATGATAAACATATAAATGTAAATTAATATAATATATTAAGTAATTTAGTTATTTTAACTCGCAATTTATTATACCTAGAAATCAAAAAAATATATATAGGAATGTGTATATTAGATTTATCTAAAATGTTAATGAATGATTTTTATTATAATATTATAAAGAAAAAATATGGAAATAAAGTTAGATTGTTATATACAGATACAGATTCACTTATATTAGAAATAAAAACTAATGATTTCTATCAAGATATGAAAATTATGTTAGATCATTTTGACACTTCAGATTATCCAAAAGATAATATTTATGGTTTACCTTTAGTTAACAAAAAAGTTTTAGGCAAGTTTAAAGATGAGTTAAATTTAAAAATAATGACTGAATTTATAGGTTTAAGATCTAAATTATATTCTCATCGAATCTTAGATACTGAAAAAGAAATTAAAAAAGCTAAAGGTGTTAAAAAAAAAAATGTTGTAGAAAATAAAATATGTTTTAATGATTTTTAAAAATGTTTACTAACAAAAGAATCAAAATATGTTAAACAAAATTTATTTAGAACTAAGAAACATGATATTTTTACTGTAGAACAAAACAAAAAAGCTTTAAGTGGTTAACCTAACCATTTATTACATTTTATAATCACAATCATACAATTACAATGGTTTATCTACTTCCTGTAAGCAAAGATTGTGTTGGAAGTAGAGAGTTATGAATTATGAATTTATTGTTGTAATGATAATTAATATTATTTATCTATATATACTAATGAAAACAGATTTAAAAAAGTACAGATAAAGAGAAAAAAAAAGAAAAGAAAAATATTAAATATAAGTACAGCATTTTTAAAAAACTTAATACACAGATCATATATACTATATACATAGAGTACCTAATATAATATACAAAGTTTACAAGTATTTTAAAGCTCATGTAACAATGTTTCACTTATATATCTATTTACATTAATTTTAGTATTTGTTCTTAAGTATTTTTTTACATTAAAGTTTAAGGTGTTGAATAGTTTTGGTCCCAGATAGTCGATTAATTTTTGGCCTATATTTTTTTTTGGATAATTAATCTTAATATCATAAGCTATGGTTTCACGCTTATTTCTTATATCATTCGGCGGAGAATATTTTTTTAGAGTATGACATATAGCAAATTTTTTGTACAAGAGACTTATCGGTAAAACATTAAGTTCTACATAATTGTTCTTAGTGGATCCGGATTTATTTTTTTTGTTAAGACATGTACGAACTGCATTATTTTGTTGTGTTTATAGTGGATTAAGTATATTATCTGTAGTAGGTACCACCCCATACAATTATTCCATACTGACATATGGATTGGTATAGTGACATGTATACAATTCTCATCGTGTCATTAGAAATTAATTTATTTAAGCTATATAATTTAAACGTAATCGTCCTTAGTCGAGTTATTATATTTAATACATGTATATTCCATCTCATATTGCAGTCAAACATCAAACCCAAATATTTTATTTTAGTCACTCTATTTATTGTGGAGTAGGTTGGAGTGTCTCTGTTATCATAGTTACAAACTTTAAAATGTTGTATTGTAAAATTTGATAAATTATAAATTGAAAAAGCCATAAAGAAAGTTTTATTATAGTTTATAGTTATTTTCTTATAGTTGAGTTTTTGTATGAAACAGTTTAATTCATTAATTGCTTTCGTTTGTACTATTTCCCATGTTTTATCTGAAAATAATAAGCACGTATCATCCGCATAGGTAATTATTGAACCGTCAAGTTGCATATTACATATACTATTTATATAAATTATAAATAGAACTGGACCAAGTACACTTCCTTGTGGTACACCACAATTTATTTTAAAATCATTACCTATTATTCCGTTAATCGTAACCATCTGTCTTCTATAACTCAAATAGCTTGAAAACCATTTTAAGCTTTCATTAACAATACCAAAACCAGGCATTATGTTTAGTAATTCATTATGATCAACGGTATAGAAAGCTTTCGCAAAGTCTAAAAAAAACAGCGATTGTTTTTTTATTATTATCTAGAGCATCATAAATATTTTTTGAGACCATATATAGCGCATCTGTAGTTTCTAATCCCGGTCTAAATCCATACTGATTTTTCGAAAGAAGTTTATTATTTTCTAAAAAGGCCATTAATCTTGACTTTACTATTTTTTCGAGAATCTTTGCTAAGTTATTGATCATCGATATTGGTCTGTAATTATTTACTAGTTTTTTATTCCCATTTTTAAAGATTGGTTTAACAATTGTTGTTTTGAACTGTGATGGAAATATTCCTTCTTTTAGGCTTTTGTTATAAATAAAAATTATTGGATTTAATATAAATCGTGATATACTTTTTATTAGTTTTACCGATATTTTGTCAATGCCTGTTGCCGTTTCATCTTTTAAATTATTAATTAACATAATTACTTCATCTTTATCAACAGGTTTAGTGAAAATGGTATCAAAGTTATTATCATTAGGACAAAGTACTTCTATCTGATGCGATTTAATAAATTTCTTAGACAATTGTGAGCCAATTGTAGTAAAATATTCATTAAATGCATTGCATGCTTTAATTGTTTCATTATTAACATCAATTATTTTATTATCAATTTCTAAAAATTTTATATTGTCTTTATTATTAGCCATATTACCTACTACTTCATTAACTAGTTTCAATGTAGCTTTTGGATTAGACGATACCGAGTTAAATTTGTTTTTGTAGAAATGGATTTTGGCCTTTCTTATAAGTGTATTAAGTTTATTCCTGTATGATTTATAATATTTAATTAATGCATTATTTAATGGGTGTCTTTTGATTTTTATCAAAAATTTTAATAATTGGACAGTGGTCAGTTATGTCAATTTGTATAACACCTGATTGAGTATTATTCAATAACGTATCATCACTACATTTAAAAAATATATGATCAAGACAGGAGTGTGTTTTGTTTAGTGGGATTCTTGTGTATACATTAATTAATGAGCTGAAACAATTTAAGGATAGCATATCTAAATATTCATTGTTTACGTATTCATTACCAATAATATTAATGTTAATATCTCCTATTATTAAGGTTCTGTCTTGTAGCGATTTATCGTTGATTATTAAGTTATTAAGATATACCAAAAATTCACCACTATCCAGAGACGGTGACCTATAAATACATAAAACATTAATTGGAACATTACATGATCTATCAACAATTTTTAAGTTTAATATATTAGCTACTTCGTTACAATATTCATTGAAATCTACGGAGAGATTGTTTTTTATAAAAACAATAATACCATCATTTTTATTTCTTTTTATCTTACTAAAGAACATTTGGAAACCAGGCAAATTATAATTACAATTATTTACATCATGCCATGTTTCAGTTAGTACAATTACATCTACGCGATAAAAATTGATATCATTTTCAAAAAATAACAATAACTGATCAAAATTAGCATTTATGCTTCTTATATTAATACAAAATATATTTAGTAAATTTTTTTCGTATAGACTAAAATTATTCACAAAATCCGATATAGAGTTAAAGTACTTTGTTTTATAGCTTAAATATGAGTTCATTGAACTGAGAATATTCATGATTTTATTTTATTTTTTTTATTTATTTATATATTTTTATTTATTTATTTTATTATACAATCAATTAAAATAGGTAGTAAGTTAAACAATCTTAAGTAAAGATTTTTCTTCATCTATTAAAATAACATTTGTAGTTTCCGATTTTTTAACGAAGATCTTAGAATCTTTGAACCAGGAAATTTATAACCATACTCACGAGCCTTTGTTCTAGTTTTGTAGAAAAGATTTCTATTTGTTTGTGTTAATTGTTCATTGATGTATATATTACGGGCAAAGTATACAATTTGGTCATTTTACATAATGGCCGGGCATTTTATATAATGTCCGGCCATTATGTAAAATGACCTTCATATATTGGGCAATATAGATAATACTATGTAATTGTAAAGTATAAAGCATTTTATTCATTATATTTTAATTTTATAAACATGATAAATATTAACTAGGAGGTACCTATACTAATATTATATTTTATTACTATTTAATTATATTTCATTACTTATTGGTAGTAATTATTTATTACCATTGAGTAATGATACTCAATATTATCAATTTATTACTTATTATCGCATGCACTACTCCCGTGGCATTTTGACGTGCATAGTCTCTCCGCAGCTTTGCACTTGCACTTCCGTGTTTTACATTTTTGTGCACACGTACATCGGTCGTAGCCCTGACCACTCAAATTAGAAAATGTCCGTGCTGTCTCTCGGAGTGAAATCTTGGTTTGTGGCACATCATCGACTTTCAGAAATCTTTCCTTGCAAATTACAAGTAAAGTGTATAGTGAAGTAGTGGAAATAGAATTCAGAGCTGTTTCGAGGTCTTCTTCGGTTCTTAAATTGCTTATTATATTTATTGGCAGAAGTGTACTCTTTAATCCAATTTTTGCTTTTGTACCGAACATAGCTTCGTAAGGTGAACATTTTATTCCTGAGTGTAATGCACGGTTTTTCATAAACTGGATAAATTTTAACCCCTCACTCCATTTTTTAGTACAGTTATCTGTCAACCAAGTAGCAAGCATATTTTCAATGTCCTGGTTAGCTCGTTCAACTGAACCCTGGCTCTGTGAGTGACGAGGTTTACCATGAACTATTTTAAGTTCTGGCCATATCGCACATATTTCAGTTACAACTTTATTTGCAAATTCTCGACCATTATCCGATTGTAAAATTGACGGTGCTCCGAATGTTGTGAAAATATCTAATAATACATACGCTACGTTTTCAGCACGTTTGTGTTTTAACGGTCGAAGTAGTACGTATTTTGTGAGGTGGTCCTGGTAAACCAATATAAACTTATACTCACCATCCGATTGTGCTTGCATATCTATTAGGTCAATTTGACAACGAGAATTCATCTTAGAAGATATAATTGGTTTTACCACCAGCCCTTTCTTGGCTGTGCTTCCTTTTTTTTGACATGATTCGCAACTATTTAAGTATAGCATAATAATATCTCTAGTGATATTTTTGTACTTTGTATTTATCTCGTGTTCCATTCTGTTTCGGCCACCGTGTCCAATTGATAAATGAACATCGTGTATAATATCAATTACCTCTTCATCGTGTACATAATATTTAATTTCATTATTTTCAGATACAGGTACAATTAACTTGTTAACATTAGCAACGTTTAACACGTCGTATTTTTTTAAAAGGTTATAATCATTCGGTTCCTTTTTTTTTGAATTATTCTTTAGTTGAATTATATGTGAAATTAGTTGATCATATTTAAGCTTTTTCAAAAATGAAGTATTTGAACCTTTTTTTTCTAACAAATCATTTAAATCTACATTAAACTTTTCCATATTCAAAATATAACTGCACTATACAAGCGATTCGCGGTTACTAAATAGTTAATTTTACGAGAATTAACCGATATAGGTAAAATGTCATATCTCTATTATGGCATTCTATGATAAACACTACAATCAAATAATATGTGACTGCCCGATAAGTCGATAAGAACAAACCAAAATACCAAATCTACAGATAATAATCCAACATTGGTATTTTGACTATACTTTACAATTAAATAGTAATAAAATATATAATATTACTTATTAGTATAGGTACCTCCTAGTTAATATTTATCATGTTTATAAAGTTAAAATATAATGAATAAAATGCTTTATACTTTACAATTACATAGTATTATCTATATTGCCCAATATATGAAGGTCATTTTACATAACGGCCGGACATTATATAAAATGCCCGGCCATTATGTAAAATGACCAAATTGTATACTTTGCCCGTAACATATATATTTGCGTTATCCCATTTCTCACAAAATTGTTTTGTTGTTAGTTTTGATTTTCTTGCTTCATTGATAAGATTCCGTTTATTTTCTTTAGAATTAATAGTAGCAACTATTTTTCTTATTTTGTTTTTATCACCCGAATAAACTCTAAAAGCATTTTGTACTGAAAGCTCAACTTTTAAGTTTGAAGCAATTTGCTTTATAGTTTCGACGCAATTTTCTTGTTTGTCCTCGGGAACTCCAATAATTTCAACATTACATTCAAGCGACTTCTGTTCTAGAATATTTATACGTTTATTAAGTAAAATTAATTCCTCTTTATTCTTCACATTTTGTTCTCTGATAATCTTATTTTCAGTTTGCAGTTCTCCCAAAGTTGATAAAATGTCCTTCATTTGATTTTTGAAACTTTCAAATTGTCCACTCATAAATTCAACGGATTCTACTAAACTTTCAATAGTAGAATCCGAGAAAGAGCTAGTCTTATGTTTGGTAAGATCTTTATTATTTTTGCATTTAGAACAGTTCCATAATTCTTTTGACTCACTTTTCATTTTACGAAATATAGTTTCTTTTTATTATTATTGCATTTCATAAGTTTTGCGAAAAATGTTTTTAATTATTATTGCATTTCAATTTTCTGATCTTTTTGCACATTGTTTTCTTTGTGATCTTTTACTGATATATTATGAGGTGCGCCAGGAATGGTACATATATACTACTCATATTATATCACCAAGAATAACGGTTTTTAGTTATTTTTTTGTAATTTCATAATACTAATTCAACTTACTGGCCACCGTATTATTAATAATTCATTAACATATTATAAATACATAATTGTTAAGCGCATGGTACAATTAATACAAAAAGATGAAAATATAATTTAGGCAAAAAATAACAAATTTTGTAGTGCAGAGTTGTCTTTATTAATATTTTACAAATAGACATATGATTTTTAATTCCGAAAAGGGGGAACAATGAACTTAGAAAACAACGAGATAAGTTAATAGAACAAATGAGCACAAAGTGGCTGTTATTAAAATTTTATCTGAACAAGGATTTTATATATGAAAAGGATGGGGGGTAAAATAATTTAGATACATGGTTTTTAATAACAAAAAGGGGAAGCAAAGAATTTAGAACACAAAAAGCTTAGTTACTAGAAAAAATTAGCACAAGTGTCTATTAGGAATAATAATTTTATGTTAATGAGATTTTTGAGGCCGAAAGGCGGGGGGGGGCGTAAAACAATTTAGAACAATATAAAAAATTATGAAAAAAAATACAATATATAAATAAAAAATAAAAAAAAAATACACCGGACAGGAGACACAATAAACTAGGAGAGGGGGATACGAGATGGCGAATGGATGCTGATATGCAAGTTAAAGGCCACTGGTCACCTCTAAAATGTTCTCTTCGAAGCATTATTTCGACTACTTATCATTTACACATACACAAATAAAAAAAAGTTTGTGTGGTACCAGTACGCGCGCGGGAAGTTAAACTTCTTTTGAATGGTACACGTGAGTGAGTGAAAAGAAAGAAAGGCATGGATAGACTGGGTAATGAGGATAATAAAGAAAGAAAAGAAACAATGTAAATTATATTTTTTATATATTTTTTTTTAATTATTATTTTATTATTGATAGTTTTATTAGTTTTTTTATATTTTTATTCGACAGATCGATGGATAATTGTTTGTAGTATTGTTTTTATCCAGACAATAGATTTGTGAGTGAATAATAATAATAATAATAATAATAATAATAATAAAAATAAATAATAATCGATCATTAATTATTCATATTAATTAGTATGGGCCAAGATAGATGAATCTGTTTTTTATTTTGCAACGTTTATATAATATTAACGACCACCACTTACCTCGCAACGCTTGTTTCTCTTTTGGATTAATTAATAATAACCGAACTACGAATTAACAAACACTGTGCATGTTTGTGTGTGCTACGATATGACGTAACCGAACGACCGTCGACCGAACGGATTGGCGAACAACGACGACGGCGAATTCGCACACCTAGTTCGAACTCGAGATTATTATTTCGGTAATATTATATTGTAAATATTATAATCATTAGGTAAAATAAAAATAACTACTATTTTTACTAAATCCAGTCGTACGTAGTACGTACAAAAATCCAAGTAACCATTAAAATTTAAAATATTAAAATAGGAACTACTTATCACTTAATAACAATATTATTATATTAACAATGGCTAAAAGCACAATAGATACTTCAATACTTGCACAACTTAGCCACCACGGAACGCGGGCCACCACCGCCACTTCCACCCACCCGCCAATCGAAAAACCGTCTCGCCGCACGACCTTGACCTTTAATCGCAAGTCGCAACTGCGCGTGTACGATATTATTATTATCATCGTTGTCGAAACCTCATCGGCTGTCACATATATATTTTATATCTGTGGCTGTCACCGACCAACATTATATATTTTATAATAGGTACGTAATATAATTATTATGTCATATTGAGGTGGCCCGATTATAATATATCGATGGCGTAGCGCACAAGTGTGATAAGTGACATTTTTTTGAAAAATGAGTTAAGTGCATAATCAATTTAATCATACAATTCTGCACATTATGCCCAAACGTTGTAAGTGAATAGTTCATTATTTACTCCGATAGACGTCGTACAGTTCGTTACATTTTTGAATTTGTTATGACATCTCAAACTTAAAAATCGTTCTCCTGAACAATTACGAAAATGTCACTTATCACACTTGTGCGCTACGCCATCGATATAATATATTATAATATATAATATAACAACACTACCATGACAATATTTATTTATTTACGGACATGTACGCTTTCGCGTTCGTACGGCCGCCCATTCGTACACGTTCGCTTTTTTTTCCTCACTACCCTGCGTAAAGGAGTATAACTTCAAAAAAAAACCACACATCATTGTAAAATCAATACATTCATCGTTCCACTCGGAATCTAAGAAATTGAGGAATTTTCTGAACAACTTACTGTATTTTTTAAATTTTATTTTGTATTTAAATGAGTAATCATATGAATTTTGAGTTTTTCTTCTGTGAAGATGTGACGTTTATCGGTTAACATATTTTTAAAGACTGAGAACGAACTTCTCAACCTTCGACTTCAACTGACGTGGTGAACTAAACATTTTCCAGAGGCAAGTTACAAATAACCCAAATGTTAATGCATAATAATGTATTAATATAATATAGATAATTATATTTCGGATCGTTTTTAGCTAGGTACCTATTGAGTATATTATCATATTAAATTTACTTAGGGACCCACCGGCTACCACCCACCCCTCTATTTAAGAAAAGTCTCAAAGGCAATTGCCTCTGACGGTACCGTTCCCTACGCCACTGGTTGTTGGGGCATATTTGAAGCAACTTAGAATTATCGGGTGTTGACAAAGATCTATAGACCGGAACAGGTCCATGCACATCTCTTCGAATCGGGCTCGGGTGATTTTCGAATAGAAATCGACGCCGTCGTGCAGGGCGTCGATCTCGAGGGACGCTTCGGTGCTCGACGACAGTGTCCGTTTGGCCCTCTCGCAGGCCGTCCGCAGTCGTCGGAGAGCCCTCGTGTTGCCGCTGATGTCTTTCTTGCACTTCCTCTTGAACTCCTCGACGAAATGCGTCACCAGCCTGTTGTCGAAGTCTTCGCCGCCCAAGTGCGTGTCGCCGGCCGTCGACTTCACTTCGAACAACGAACCCTCGTCGATGGCCAGGATCGACACGTCGAACGTGCCGCCGCCCAGATCGAATATCAGCACGTTCTTCTCGCCCTTCAGGTTCTTGTCGAGACCGTAAGCCAGAGCTGCGGCCGTGGGCTCGTTGATTATCCGCAACACGTTAAGTCCGGCAATGGCTCCAGCGTCTTTGGTAGCTTGTCTTTGGGAATCGTTGAAGTACGCCGGTACGGTTACCACGGCGTCGGTGACCTATATGCGATAAAATACCACGGTACACACATGTATAGGGTCATTAGTCGTTATAAAGTAATTAAGCTAAAAATATATATCTAATATGTACAACCGATATCAGCCGTCCGGTTACAGAGGGTTAGGGGTCGGAGGATTTAAACATTTTAAGCGACCTCGATAACCGAAAATATTAATATAGGTATTGGGTACATTATATTTGGTAAAATGATAACTCTAATTTTTATCGTGGCTTATATGTTATCTCTGGAGACATTTTCGGAATGTTTTTAAACATGAACCTTGATGTTGATAAATTATATTATATTCGAACCGACTGTACTGCTTCTATGTACCTACTTAAATGTATTATCTGTTCTATGGTATTATGCATATTTTATTTTACATAGTATAGGCAGCTGCTATGATATTATATAGTCTGTACAAAAATCATTTTTTATATAATAAATAGACTTATAGTTTAACATGATATTTCGTAATATGATCATGTACATAATTACATAAAATATATCACATGCTATAAAATAATAATAATTTATTATTAATTTTTCAAATTTTTTTTTGTAAAATTTTTTATGGAATTTACCGATAACTTTTTTTAAATGAAAATAAATCAAGATTTTATACATAAAATAAACTAAACATAGTCTAAAATATAAGTGATTTAGTGAATAGTAATGGTAAACGTCACAAACCTATATAAAATGTATTATTAAACAAATTAAAAAACACACTGTTTACCTTTCCACCCAGGTAGACTTCGGCGATTTCTTTCATTTTCGTAAGCACCATTGAACTAACTTCTTCCGGGGCGAATATTTTCCTCTCACCTTTATACTCGACGGCTATTTTAGGCAAACCACCCTCATTGACCACTTCGAACGACCAATGTTTCATGTCCTCTTGTATTTTTGGATCGTCGAATTTACGACCTACTAAACGTTTGGCATCGAAAACCGTATTTCGTGGATTCATGGCCACCTAAAATAATAAACAACGTCAGGATTGATAAAATGTTAAATAACACAAATAGATATTGACGTATAGTACAGTGCAGACGTGCAGTAGTAGGCAATATTGTTATATTCTGTGGTAACTATAACACACTAACACAGGGCCTTTTAATAAATGAGAAAAAGTTTCGTAAACCCGTTTTATTTGTTTATGTTTTCAAAACAAAATACAGATACATTGAAACCTCGATAACTCGAATCAGTTGGGTGTGAAAAAAAATTCGAGTTATAGAAAAAATGTTGTGTAGGTAGGTACTTATTGAAATGCAGGGGCGAAGATATTTCTTCGAGTTTTCAAAAATTCGACTTAAAGACGTTCGAGTTATCGAGGTTTCGTTGTATTTTATATTTTTACAACACATTCACTTATACATAAGTGTATTTGATATACACACATTTTTATTATTAATTCTATACTGTATATTATATTTTATACTATACAATATATTATACAATTACCATAACGACTATTATCAAACACTTGTTGTTTATATACCTACATTCCTCAATTCGTATTATATAATTGTATTACTTCCTTAGCACTTTATGGTATTATTGTATTCAATGGGCAACTTTCTATTTAGAAAATATGTAAGAAAAATAGATCTTGCCGTATTCTTGTTCACATGGTACATGATTATAATAAAAATATGTATTGTGTTCATATTTTTATCACGTTTTATACAACTCTACTATAGAAATTTCAGTTACTGGATATTTCCATCTATTCGTAGTAATCCATATTATTATAATAACACATAAAAAGGTTCGACCAGATTTTTTTCGAATAATTATGGAGGGAAATATGTTATTGGACCGTGCGCAGTGAGATTTGAATTTGGATGAATCATCGTCGTCTAAGCGCCCGCCTCCATCTATGGGCACACACACACACACACTAACACTTGAATAATATTTCTCACACTTCTTGCGACACATAAACGACGTATACCTACTAATACCGTGTGTGCGTTCATCAAACTCCCGATTTGGTAATTGAATGGTTGTAAACAGGCCTAAACGGGTAAGGTCGCCTATATGAGGATTCCGTTCTAGTGGACGGTTTTGATTTTGTTTCGTGAATAACAATATTTTATCATTATTATATTTTATGGTCGGTCTAAAAATACGTTACACGCATCGCGCTACTCTAGAAATAACCCTTTCCAGATAAAATCAAACTGCGAGCATAGTGCACATGTGTCATCGGGATATTTTTGTATCTACCCAGTGGTGTAATGTCGTTGTGGGTGAGAATAATTAGATACGTGGGTTTGCATTCACGTTCGCCAAATTCGATGACGTTTGTATAACGGTTATGCGCGAATATATAATGTAATCTCGAATGCATGTGAATTTGTAAAATAATCTAAGCACATATTGCAATATTATATATTATTGTTATTATTTAGAAATTAAAACGGCCGGAGAAATTCTAGATGCAAATAAAGTACATGGAGGTATTCTTAAAAATGGTCCGAAGTCAAGGAAACAAAATTCGTGTAGGTGGGTACCACAAAAAAAGAAATATATACATCACGTTAATATTATTAAAAAGAAAAATTAGGTACGTACAGCAATTTTAAAAACGTATTATCAAACCAATGAGGATTTATGTACATAAAAAAATTACTTTAATTACACTATTACAGTCTATCATGAATATGATAGGTTACTAAACTCACTACGCAGAAAGTCTGTAAATGTTGATTATACTAATTAAAATTTAAATATAATCATTGAGTATATATTGTGCAATATTATAATATACTCAATGATATAATATACATGATAGGTGTTTTAATGATTAATTTATTATTATAGGAGTATTTATGCATTTGATTGTTGTAAAATAAATAATATGTCAACTGTTCCAAATTTTCAATCTTTAATCTAAATTATAATTTTAGTTATAATAGATTAATTAAACTATTGATTCAGATGTCGGCTACCAATATGAACTATATAATACACCGTAGAATGGGGTAACTTTGATTTCGCGGGGCAACTTTGATACCCATATATTTTTATTCGCCAGAGTACCATGATGATTTAATTTTTTTTTCATAAAATGGGGTTACTTTGATATCACATTAAGAAATATAGGTATCTAAATTTCCCACTATGTTGTGTAAATTTGATAGCATATTAAAAAGATTGATATCTCAAAAGATAAAATCAGAAATTTAAAAATTAAAAAGTTAAAATGTTGATCATAATTAGCTGTAACTAATAATTAATTTTGAGAGTTGTATCATTAATACTACAAAAGTTATCCATAAAATAAAAAGTAAAATTGTCATAGAACAGTAAAAAATTATCAATGTTACCTAATTTTAAGGTAGTATACAACGCAACACAATTTCGTTGGTTCGTTGAGAACAGAGAGAGTTTTAGGGGTGAAACCAGTGGCGTAATTGTGGGAGAGCAAGGGGGGTACTTGCCCCCCAGAAATGTTTGTGAGGGGCAAACGTATAATTTTGCCATCCAAATAATCCACAAATAAATTTATTCTTAACAAGACAGTTAACATAATTATAGCTGAGCCGATACCGATAAACGATATTAATATATAGGCCGATATTGGTACTATCAGTTTTTTCTTCAAACCAATAATTAAACCGATATAATGCAGTCGCATATCAATTTGTATGTAATTGTGGTGATTTTACCGATACCTAATGATATTTTTTAACATATTATAATATAAACAAAAAATAATCTGGTAAACATAGCAAACACGATGCAATCACAATTTAAATTAAATTTCGTTTATTTAATTATTTTTCCTGCTTACCGCGGTTATGATTTTATTGATAAATAATAATTGATGAAGATAATATTCCAAAAATTATTAATTATTACGGTATCATTAAATTCAACTTTTAAATGTATAAATATTTTAATTTTTAATTTATAACGATTTAATATTTTTTTACTCAGTATAGTAATTTCAAGTTTGATTATTTTAATATTTATAATTTTGTATGACTATTATATTCTTTTATTTTTTTGTCCACTTGTTCAACTAAAATAATATTTAAAGTTATTAAATATTATTTATTAATCCATTGTTAATTTTTCTTGGGGAAATCTAATATGTTTTGATATGTCACGCGATTTATATGGTTACATACTTACATCGGTTTTTCATATCGGGTATAGGTTTTTGAAAAATATATCGGGTTTTTAAGTTTTTTTATATCAACTCATGGAAATAAAATATCGGATTGGCAATCGGTTTTATATCGACAATATAAATCGGAATATCGGATGTCGGAAAAAAACGGCCCAGCTCTAAACATAATATTATAATATTAAAATATTTTTTCCTCAAATTCCTTTATAAAAGTTAATACGTCTTATTTTAGGTTTTTCTTGTATAATATTTTATTCTTGAAATCGCGATTATAACGGGAAGTTAATTTTATTGCCCCCCCCCCCAGGTTTTATCCAGTCACGACAATGGGTGAAACTGTATTTACAAATTACGAGGGTCGTATTTGATCGTTTTAATCGATATTGTAAAATTACTAATTATTTGTAATACCTAAACGTAATGACGGAAAGGTCTGCTTTTTTGCGTACCTGACTCTTGGCGGCATCTCCGATCAGCCTTTCCGAGTCTGTGAACGCCACGTAGCTGGGTGTCGTCCGATTTCCCTGGTCGTTGGCGATGATTTCCACTTTTCCATGCTGCCACACGCCTACACACGAGTAAGTGGTACCCAAGTCTATACCTACGGCTGGTATTTTGCTCATTTTTCAAAATACTTTGACAGATGAAAATGGAAAAACAAGTTGTTATCACTCTGTTGGAGCGATCTAAATACAAAAAAAATAAATACTTAACGGTCACGTCTTGACTGTTGAACTGTCGAAGGAAACGTATCCAAAGCTGAACACACGGTATTTATACTTCTGGCCACCACTTCTCTTCGCCAGATCATTTATAGACCGGAACCACGCCCACGTCCGAATGTTTGTTTTTATTCAACATAAACCGTTCGTAACATTTTTAAAAACACAAACATTATTATTATTTTTTTTTTTATAACTATATTTTTAAAGATATCCTCGTATGTAGTGGTTGGTGGGAGAAAACATTATGACTTATGTACTGACGTTGTACCTACCAGTTTCGTAATGCCTACAACGTGCAGTTGATTTCCGATTTGTATTTTAAAATTGAAACAAGTGTCTCGTGTCTCATTTGCCATTATAATAATATACCCATTGATATTATTACTGTTCTGTAAAAATGCACATTTAATTTAAATACAGTTATAGTTGTAAAAAAAATGCATAACTTTATTTTAAGCATAATATTATACGGTCAAATAGTTGAAAAAAATGAAACCATCGTCCATTTAATAGGTCCCAATTATTGAAAAAGTACCCGAGTAGATACTGCTACAGGTCTATTGAATTATTTATATTTGAACGCAATAATAAATCAATAAATTATAATATAAAATATACACTATTATTAATAATATCGTACTGGAAATAGTACCTAGTCCAAAAAACTATTCTCTTCGTTCACTGGTATATTTTTTTGGTTTCTAGAAAATCAAATTTATCGTGATGATTAAAGAGTAAAGATAACCTATTGGCTGTATATATATTATTTCTAACTTGAGTTAAAAACTCTGCAGGGAGACTTTAATACGTTTGCATAATGTTTGGACTTTTGGAGCCTGCAGATGTTGTTTTGAAGTGTTTTTTATTTATTTTTTTTTATTATCCCTTACTACTCTTGTTACAATCTTTGCCCTATCGGCTCCAACCTCGAGTTTCATTTTGCAAATTAGCACCCATATTGTTGGATGACTATGTCTTAACAAGTGTGTGAAGTACTGAAGTGATTGTTCCAAAATTAACTTATCATATTATCAGTTCTTTGTTCGTTATTTAAAGTGGCTTCAAACACATTTCACGTTTTGGTAGAAATAAGAGTTTAATTTTTCTTAATTTTATATCCATACTAGCACCAACTCTCTTGCACGAACCATTTATATATTATGTAATGTCGAAGTAATTTAATATTTCATTCGCTTCAGGGATATTTGTTTGTTTTAAAAACTCCATTTCCTCATAAACCCGTTCAAGTGGAAGGATCTCCAGTGACAGCCCATCAAAAATTACTACATTTGTCATCATTCATATTATACGTTATTTGTAAACCTAACTCCTGACTTAACGAAATGTACTCTGGCAAAGATGGTAAAAGCATCCTCTGATAGCTAATTCTGAACTAAAAACATTAATAGCTTCTGGAATTACTGCCTTTTCAAAATCGACATGTAAAATCCAGTGGTTGGGGAACAAATTTTGTTGTTCATATTTTTCAAGAATGGTTTTAAACATAGTTTCATAAATTGAAGTTGTCTTATGTTCTAATAAACAATATACAGCGGTAATAAAATCATTTTACGGACTCATATATAACATATTATAATTTCATAAAATAATCAGGATTGAAATTAAAATTGGCGTCACAATACCAAGTGCTTGCTTCTCCACAGTGAAAATTATAACTCGTTCATGGTTTGAATCCAAGTTGTTGGATAACGAAAACCGCTTTCCTTCTTTCAATAGCCTAAAATACAAATTAAATAAAATCTATATTGCATATAGGATATATGATAAAGTTTTTCTATTTATGTATGATAAAATTTAATTGGTAATAAAATGTATAGTTTAATAATAATTTATCAGTACCTAATCTTTAAGTGTTCAAATAATTTGAAGTTAATGGAGATTTTTTTTTTGCATATTACTGCATATTTAATGGTTATTGGATATTTCAGCATAATTTGACAAAAATCAAAATGTATTGCATATTAAATCGAAAATTAAAATAAATATTTATAAGATAATATTTTATCAACCATAAAATGTAATAATACATTTTATAGGCACTAAGTGATTATTAATTTAATTAATATTAAATTATAAATTAAAATTTTTTTTTGGTTATTAATTATAGTAAATACCTATAGTTTTAAGTTATTTAGTATATTTAAAATTATTATTGAGTCACACATATATAAACTATTAAATTGAAAATTTTATATCATATATACAATTAAAAGTATTTTTTTTTGCATATTTGTTGCATATTATTTTCACGATTTTGACTGCACTTTTTAGTGCATACAAATCAGCTCACTAAGTAATAAAGAATTATAATTTAAATTTAATATTTGAGAATAATTTATACCTATCAATAATACAATCTTTTAACATTATACAAATAATCTACTATATTAACCTTCAATTTTCAAATCTTCTAAGCAAGTAAGTTAAGAAGGATTTATATATTGCTACGTTGCTTTTGTATAAAACACGTTTAACAGAACTTTAGTTTTGTATATTAATTAAACTTCATCTGGAAGATCACCGATCACCTCATCAAAAATCTGATAAGGCTTATCCCTAGATATTTTAGCAAGATTTTTACATGTTGTATTTAAAGTTTTCTACTTCCAATGTAGTGTGATTTCCGGCATGGTTATGTTCAATTAGTAATTTTGCTTTATAAATCTCTTTCGGTGTACATAATACTGCATCACACTTATTGTATTTATTATTCAAGCTATAGCTATACATTTCTATCGTATACTATTACTTAGTTTAAGTTGAATCGTGTTCGCGAACCCAACGTACACTATTTAGTTTAGATTTCAAGCAATATTGACATATTATATTCATATTATTATCTCAATGAAATTGTTTTCGTAGAATAGCCTGGTTGTTGCATAGTGCATTACCTCTGCCGTGATCGATGAACGCAGAGGCGTTACAAAAAATAGTATGTGTGGCTCGTGCTGGAAGGAAATTTCAGTATTTTGTGAAATTACTGCTGCTCGCTATACTATAACGTCACTCGCGACTGAAAAGCTCAAGTCCATACTCCATCCCTTTCCTAAACTATTGTACAGGGTGGGCCACGGGAATAGGGACAAAAATAGACAGGGTTTTCTCAACGTTGAATGTGAGTAGGAAGGTCTAGATAAGCTCATTCGATCCATCAGATAATGACATTTCGTTGTCACTGTGGCGCAGTGGAGTGTAGTTCACTGTGTGTTTGCGTACGACGCGTTTATGAAAATCAATGAATCGGTAGTTAAGGTGTTCAGCGCGCACTCAGATTTCACTTCAGAGTCGGATGTCTCGGTGCTGCTCTCAATGGGAAAACAATTATGAGGTTATATAGTTTTCGAACGGGGACAGTTGATAAAAAAAAAAACCAAATGCCCCAAACGTACTGTAACAACTCCCGAGAATACGGAGTCTTACCGTCTGAATGAGCGCTGCACCTTAACTAACGAGTAACGATTCATTGTTTTTCACAAACTCGTCCTACTCAAACCACGGTGAACGAACTCCACAGCTCCATAATGACAACGAAACGGCATTATTTGACGGATCGAATGAGCTTATCTAGACCTTCCTACTCACAATCAACGTTGAGGAAAACCCGTCTACTTTTGTCCCTATTCCCGTGGCCCACCCTGTATATACCAAAGGCAACCCAATGCTACTAGAGGGACAATTTTGAATGTGCAAAAATCTAGCGGGTCAGAGAACATAGAAAGCAAAAAAAAAAAATCCTACGTTAACTATAACACTATAAATAATAATATAATATTATTTACATTTAATAGTTCAATACTAGATAAGAATTTATATCTACGTTTACGATAAACATTATATCGGTTTTAATAATTTTATAAATATAATAAAATAAAATACTGAAAAATCTTTGTATATATGCTTAACTTTATTATTTATAAATATTTTAATCTTGTTTTGAACTTTTAGTTCTTGGCTATAAAAATTGAACATTATATACATTTTTAAGTACAAAATAATTTGATAATGTTTGCATAAAATTGTGCCTTTAATTTTTATATGTTCATTACTTTTGAACTTCTAATATGAAATTACTTATGGCCTACATTGAATTTATTTTCCCGACATTTCGCATACATTTTATCTTTCGTGAAGTGTATACTATCTATGATTTCTGTTGTCTCAAAAAAAATATAATTGTTCTATAAACAGAATACCTAATGACCAGTGGCGCAAATAGGGCTAAAATGTTGGAGGGGGCTGTAGTATATTCAATTACAATAAGAAAAACTTATGTGGGATCTCGATATAAATCTTCAAGCTTATTTAACCCTTATTTCAACATTTTATCATAGCTGCATAAAAACGAAATTTGTAGTTGATAACTGATATCAAGCAAAAATTTCTATTTTTCTTCAATTTATTATTTTTTTGTTTATCTCGGTTATTTTAAAAAGAATTTGGAATTTATACTTTTGACCCCTCTCACATCCTAAAAATAAAAATATTAACGAGATCCAATTTGCTAGCATAAATCAACATCAGTCGAAGAATTTTCAATACTCGAATGCCTCTTAAAGCTTATCGCCAAAATAAAAACCAACGATTGAAAAATTATAAGATAAAACTTAAAAACCGCTGTAGCTGTCGGACTTATTAAATTAAGTCTAGCAAGTACTTTTTGTTATAGAATATTGTATGAACTTAAGGGGGATACGGATTAAGGATACCAATTTGTCAGATTTTAATTTTCACGAAAGAAGCCATATAAAGGCAATACAGAGAGTACTTACTCACTATCTGCACCTATAAACTCCAAATTCCACATACAATTATACGAGTCACGAGCTCTGTTGTAATGGGATTACGCAATATAATATATTTTGCTCATAATAACAACC